GTAATTGAGTAGATTTGGGGGCTAATTGTCCTTTATTGAATGGGTTTTTAAACCTGTACTTGCACTTGTAATTGAATAAAATTCGGTCTATGCAATTGCATCTAACTGTCTCTTTTCTTTTCTATAGGCCTGTCTACAAACAGCACTGCATCACCTTCTATGATTTGCCAGATTTAAGAGAATATGCAATGTGCGATTTAAAACATCTAAATTTAGTATTACACTATTTTACTGATGAAGTTTTGCATAAAAGTGTGATATAAAATGCAACTAACACTTGTTAATGTTAAAAAGTAACTAGAGTAGTATTCTTCATGCATACTTTTAAAGTTTTTTTTTAAGTACAGTTATGGCAGATGTACTTGTAACTGAGTAAATTATTAGCCATTAGAGTACAAATTTTCAGTACCACTGACTAAAAGGTATTTACGTACAGTACATGGCTATTGGCACATCTGATATTATTAACTGCTGTGACTCCAATAGCAGTTTACTAAACATGACCTGGGCAGATGGATAATGAGCTGCACTATATGACAAAGGAATGTGGTGCAGCTCACAGACTCAGTGTTGTGTGTTTTATTCCAGGTGGCATATATATATTTGCTGAATGTCCCTCCCAGCTCTTTACTCCAATTTCACACTGCTTACTGTCCCGTGTATGGGGCAAAAAACTATGAAAGAACATTTAAGGAGAGATAAATATCCCCCATGACAGTACATGGTAGTCTTGTCAAGGTATTTTAAAAGGAAAAGTAGCATATCAATAATTCAGACTCTCAAAAATATCAGAAATAATCATTATGCCTTGAGATGAATGTTGTAATAATATTGTGCAGTGATATTTTACATATTTTGTTTCATGTCCTCTTCATCCATTTATACAATGGAGCAGAAACTCCAAAGCTATCAGAGTTTTATCCTGTCTTTCTGAATGACGGGGGCACTCACTCAAACATTTTCTGGCTTTACTAATATGCTCCACTTCCATCCAGAGTCATTCCCAGTCTGTCATTGTGCTCCAGGCTAGGCCTTTCTCACTGCCACCCTGCAATCCCAAATAAAGTCACCCAAATTCTGCTGCTGATGTCATCTGCACCAGTTCAATGATTGCCCTATAATCAGCGGCCGTCTGCTCTGTGATTGGAGAGCCGCTCACATCTGGCCTCTCTGACCTGAGGAAGACAAAAAATGTATTTTACTCAAGTTACTCTAGTTTTATGGTTTAAATTTCTTCCCTTAAAAAGTTTTTTTGGCTGCCGATGACAAGACTCTTAGGGTTCTTCAGGTAATCCCCAAAGTTACTGAAATAAAATAAGAAAAAAAAAAAAAAAAAAACAATAATGAAATATAAATTGTACTGTTTTACAATTAACTTTGAATGAATGAAAACCTATATTGCCCTAAGGCAAGGGCGTTTTGTCCTCCACACGAGAGCACGTAAAACCACTACACAGAGGCAAAGAAAGACAGAGACCGCATAAGAACAAATACAGGCAAATTAAAATACACTACAGCCCATGCATCAGAGTACTAGGATTACAGCTCACTGAGCAGATGAATACCGCATGGGATGGACGTAAGACCTCTCTTTGTCTTCATTTAAGGCATCACATACCTTTGTCCTTGTGGTACAAGACTATCCAAAAGATGGTGTGTGACCACCACAATCTTCAGAGCAAGATTCAAAGATTTGTCAGTCAAAAGTGAGATGCTGTCAAGTTGTTCTTACATTCTACAACAGTCTGAAAAGCAGTAGAGTTCCAATTCAGTTTATTGTCTATTATTGTGCAAGGTACTTGAACTCTGATACAGTTTCAATGGCTGCATTGTCCAGCTTCACAGGTGAGTGAAGGGTGAGTAAGTTTATCCTAAAGCCCAAATGATTTCTTTTTTTTTTTTGTCAGTGTTTGTGTGTGTGTGTGTGTGTATATATATATAGTAGCTGACAAAGTCATTGGTACACAGTGTGAATAATAAATGAGACAATATGCACCGTTGAGGAACTGCGGTGTTGGTACATTTGCATAATTTTAGAATTGTATGTAATGGCTAAACACACAACATGACTCATCTGATTTAGTACTACTAATTATATGTTGCATGTAATGAGGAACCGCTGCAGCAATTTATAGAAATGTCTAGCCCTTTCTGATATAATCCCTACTCCCTGTTTTTGAGTGGCTGTTTACCCACATCCATCTAAAACCGCCAGCTAAATCCTACACATCTTTAAAGCGTTTAAATAGGCAGCACAGCTTATTTAAATTGAAGGCTTGGATGGGTAATGGGCTTGTGTGGTGCCTACTGAAGTTGCTGAATTTGGTTGGAATTGAATGGTACATTGTGTAGGCCCATCTCACGACAGATTTAGTGTAATAGCTGCCAGTTACTCCCTTAAGTGCATCCACAGGGGGCCAAAATAAAGCTTAATAACCACCCTGCCACAACACATCCAGCAGGCCGTCATTAGCAGTCATATACTCTACTCTGTCCAATGTCTCGCAGCTATCCATAGGAAAAGGCTGTAAAAGGGAAAACAATGAGACTTTTTGATTTAAGGTGCAATATGTAACTTTTCTAGTGTGAAGTCTGCCACCTGGTTGTTTCATTTAAGATGTTTGATTGTTTTACTTAAAATGTTCCACGGTATTAGGCTACAAATTATGGTATTGGCTTTTATGTGTCAGAACTTTATCAAACTCATTAACCAAAAAGAGTGACATAATGGTCACAGGGTTGACACTATGATAAGATTAAAATGTGGTTTTAATGGACCTCTTGTTATGATGCATGCAGAGCCTGTTGGTGGGCTGGAGAGGAGGGCGCTGTCACTGGCATGATGCGACCCCGAGGTCATCAGTCTGTGAAGGACCTTGATGTGTGACCCCAGACCAGCCCTGTCGCTGCACTGCACATCAACTGTCCACTCAGTTAGGAGAGAAGAGAACCACAACAAAAACACTGCACGTAACCACACTAAAGTATGGTGGAAAGTGGGAAAGAGAATTCTGTATTCATTAAATTATTGTGTGAAGCCATCAACACTTTTCTCTTTGGAGCTCAACAGTGACCACCAATCTCACAGTTCCAGAACTAAATTTTATTAAAACCTTAGATATTAAAAATGAGAGATACAGGACTACAGTCATACCAAACTCCATACAACTGTACAAAAAGTCACCCTTATGTAATAGATACTATAACTCTATGTCATGTCTGTGTTATGTCATCTTTGCACTGTTTCTCTTTACGACCTCTTGTATATAACTGAGAGATATATTTGTATTACTGTATTTCTATATTTTATTTTTACTTGAACATATACATTCATATACAGTAATTATGCCTTATTTGACACCAGTCTCTTGCTATTCTTGCTATATATTTTGAATTTATTATTACCATTTATATTGCTACTCTGTGTTATTATAATATATTGTGATGTGTGAGCTACTGTATCCAAATAATTCCCCTTGTGGCTCAATAAAGTTAGTCTAAATGTGCTTTTTGGACTTAAAACTAATAACTTTGTGGATTAGTTACCATGTAGCTGGTCAGCCTCTGTAATGCCTTTAAAAGCATGATATTTAATTTAAGTCTATCAGAAAAATGTATGGAAAATTTACTTCTGGAACTGTTCCAGCTCCATAGTGCCCTGACAATATTTAAGTGGAATTATACATGTCATATTTTAATATATTAAGTAAAAAAAAAAAAAAAAATAGGGATGCAAAATAGGGAAGCAATAAATTGGAGCAAGGGATCATGTAGTTTCTGGCACACTTGTGAATTGCTTCTGATGGTTATTCATATTTAGTTTTTACTGTATGGTTGCTACTCTCTTTATGTTTTAGCTTTATGTTTTAGTTTATTGTGGGAAATTGTTACTATGGAAAAATTCCTGAAATGTTCCAAGTCCGTGTCCACATGTGGCTGCTTCATGTGGAGGGTCAGGGGTCAGTGGGTCATTTACCCTGGTCACCCTCTATGTGTGGGGCAGAATGGTAAGTTTAAGGTCAAAGGTCATGGATGAAGTGTAACTAAAGCCATGTGGAACTGACACAGCAGATAAAATCCATGTGTGAATGAGACACAGACAATTGAGGTTGAAGGTTGATTATCTCTTGATGAAATATATGAAGTATTTAAAGGTTGGACTGTTGATAGTAATGTGTGCACAGTTTATGTCCTTGACTGGAAGGCTTTACTCTGTGAGGGGTTGGCATTCTTCTGCATCACTAAGCCAATAACAGATTCAAGAGTTTCATTAAGGTCTAGACTTAAAACTAGTCTGTCTCGCTCACCGTGCAGCTTAGACTGCACACTACAGTGTAGGGAGACAGATAATGCAATGACAGTGCCCCCTGCCGATATATTTAAAACATACATTGCTGTTTTAGGTGTTGTACAGTATACATAGTTTTAATTATCTTCATGGAATAATTTGGGTGTCAGTAAGCATTCGCCCACTAACTCAAAAATTACAATGAAATGCCGTTCCAACACAATAGCCCTGAATCCAACACAAGCCAGCTTTTCTTAAGGCTTATAAATTCTGAATAGGAGTGCATGAATGAATAGGTTTGCAAAGGTCAGTTACCTGATATATAAACCACATATAATGCGTACATACTACATACGTCGTCAAATACTCTAGAGACTGCGTAAAACAAGAGTGCCCCCTGCTGATGGAATATGATATGCTGCTTTCAATGTCTAAAGAATGTACAGTGTAAATGGTATTTTATGGTATTTATATCGTACAGTGCTTTCTTGTGTGGAGGCTACACAACGTAAAATTTCACTGCATTTCTATTTGTCTTTAATGATAATAATAAAAAACAAAAGTAAAAAATATATATTAAATAACGTCGAGTTTAATTTTGTATACGTTTTTGTATGTTTGATGATTATATTTTGTTATTTTTAATATTTTCATACAGATTTGAAAATCTCCGTGCTGCTCCTGAAGATCCCATTGTTGTCGTATACACAGAGCAGCCTGAAGCCTGGCCGTGTGGTCCATACACGTGTGGAGGAGCCAGTGTGAGCGGAGACCCTAATGACTTTGTGAGAGGGCACACAAAGATCGAGAAGCTGGCTGCTACACCACGTCGGATTTTCAGATTTTCAGCGGTTAATTTATTTCGTTACAGACGGTTTTGTATCGAACGTAAAGCTCTGGTAAGGAATATTTAATCGTGATGCTGATGCTTGGCTAGTTAGCAAAGCTACATCATAGCACAACAAAGTGGCTGCTACTTCCTGCAGTATGATGTGATTAAGGCTGATAGAGGTTGATTAAGTTACGTTTTAATTTTATTTCGATTGTATAAACCTCTTAATAGTTATTTCATATGACAATTGCTTTACAAATTGTAGTATCTTGGTAGATCGTGTTTATTTGAGGCTTGTTTTAATTTATTTTTTGGCTTTATTTTGAAAACTTGTCGAACTACAATGTGCTCTACAATGTGGCTAACTTGGTTTAGCAAAGGATATCAACTGTGTTGTCCTAACATTTTATCACTTTATTGGTTACTTTTCGCTTTTTAAATTTCTACCAGTCGTTCCGTTACGTCCATGGTTAAGTGATTGCTTTTTATTTTGTCTTTGCATCAATGTTTACCTTTCCAAGTAATCTCAGTAGCTAGCATAGCTTCTCGTGGCGCGACAATATTGTGGTTGGTTGGTTTTACCGCACGGGTTTTCTCGGAAGAGCGGTGCAAGCTTACTTAATGTTCTTTTGATTGAATTCCAGTATATGATTCATACCCGAGCTGTGTTGTACATTATAACAAATGTACCATGTGCGACATGCGTTCTATTCATTGAGGGAGTGGATTAAACCAAATATGACTTGCCTTTTCTATTTCGCCTCAAGGCAACATGTTGTTTTAACCACATTGTTACATGTTTATGCGAGCTATTGTTTCTGGGCTTTTTGGAGGGTGTAGCAGTAGTTCCGGGTTTGATGCGAAGAATATATTTAATAGAAAGCTTAATAAAATTGTCTTTCGGTCTCTAATTTGAATAGTGATTTAGGTAGGATCTTTTTTTTTTTATTAGACTGGGATTTTTTTTTCTTTGTAAATGTAAACCATAAGAAAATGCCACCAAGCATTGCCAGAAGGTTAATCTAGGGGCACTTTAAATTTCTTGGCGGGGGTCAGTTGCCTGCTTGTCCTGGCGAAGATCTTATTGTTTTGTCTGGAATATTTAAAGCATGGCATTTAGAGGGTTAACAGCAAGAATGCAGGATTTCAAGATGTTTTATCAGTAAAAACACCTGATTAGACTAGTGTAATGCAGTGCTGTAAAACATGGAGACAAGCAGATGCCACCAAAAAAGTTAGTAATTGCACTTTTAAATACACAGTTCAGTACAAATTGTTTTACAGCCGACTTTCACTGACATCTTGGTTCGTATCCGAGAGATGCCGTATCGATACACCTTAAATGATGAACCTAATTGTACTTGCTTTTATTGTACATAATTGTCATGTTATAACCATTTTACCTTTTGTTTGATTCAAGATACCAGAGCCCAGAAGGACAATGAAGTACATTCTTGTAACTGGTGGTGTCATCTCGGGCATTGGCAAAGGCATTATAGCAAGCAGTGTGGGCACCATCTTGAAGTCATGCGGCCTACATGTAACCGCTATTAAGATTGACCCTTATATCAACATAGATGCTGGAACCTTCTCACCATATGAACATGGTATGGGAATGACAGATGTCAATGTATGCCCAATGACTGGGGTTGTTCCTAATGTGCTACTCTTTGTATCTTCAGGGGAGGTTTTTGTGCTGGATGATGGAGGTGAGGTAGATTTAGATCTTGGGAATTATGAGAGGTTCTTGGACATCCGACTCACCAGAGACAACAACCTGACCACGGGGAAGATCTACCAGTCAGTCATCAACAAAGAGAGGAGGGGAGACTACCTCGGTAAAACTGTGCAAGGTACTGGTCCTATTTTTTTTATTGAGTGAAAAATTTAAATCTGTGGAATTTAGAAAAGACCACAATTGTTTCATCTGTTTTTTTGCAGTGGTCCCACATATAACAGATGCAATTCAGGAGTGGGTTGTGAAGCAGGCCAAAGTTCCCGTCGATGATGATGGTGTAGAACCTCAAGTTTGCGTAATAGAGGTTAGTCTGATATGTCTTGTTCACTTGTTCATATTGGAGAACATCAAGTCTTCATTTTGAGTTTGCTTTCAGTTGGGAGGAACTGTCGGAGACATTGAGAGCATGCCTTTCATTGAGGCCTTCAGACAGTTCCAGTTTAAGGTCAAGAGGGAGAACTTCTGTAATATCCATGTCAGCTTGATTCCGCAGGTTCAAAAACAGTCCTTTAACCCCTTTTTAAGATTGAATTATTCATGTAATAAAAAAATGCTATGTTGTTTTATTGTCTTTTTCAGCCCAGTGCAACTGGGGAGCAGAAGACAAAACCCACTCAAAACAGTGTGAGAGAACTGAGAGGACTGGGTCTGTCTCCTGATCTGGTGAGTCATGTTCAGTCAGCCTGTTATAGTGACTGACATCTGAGCAAAGACAGAGACAGTTGGATTATCGAGGTGAAAGAATGTGCAAAGCTCAGCACCAATTAATGTTTTCTGGCATTAATTTATAATTAATAATAAACACACAAGCAATATTGCAGTTGTTTATCTTCTGCACTACCCAATTATACATGTGTTTTAAAAAAAGATAGGAAAGGAAACAGCATTTTCAGTGTAATTACAAGTTATATGGATGCATTGATATACTAGACTGTATATATAAATGGGCATAGCTAATGCGTGTTCCAGATATGAAGTTCGCATGCAGGCGATTCCGGCTCCTGTTCCTGGCTCCGATTGACTTACACTCTCTTTGTAACTGCTGCTATGAGCCTTGTCATTTTGGACTTAAAATATTTGTATTAACGCACTCTACATAATCCTGGGGTTTTTATTTTGCTGTTTTGACAGTTTAAAAAAATCCTATTCATAATAGAGAGCCAGGCTAGAAATTCACTCCTGTTAACCGCTAGCATCGCAAGCTTCATTTGAGTGGAGCCGAACACTTTGGGTGTCATCACTTGCTTAGTCCACTTGATACAGTCTATGATTGATAATGAGATGTATATAAAACAATTTTACATGTTGTGCAAACGTTTGTGTGCTTCATGATGATAATAAGCGTGTCTCAGTATGTCCTCCTGTTCCTCAGATTATGTGCCGTTGCACTACAGCTTTGGAGACTTCTGTGAAAGAGAAAATTTCAATGTTCTGCCATGTTGCTCCAGAACAGGTAGGTCATTGTCTCTTTTTGGACTAAAACCACAAACACATTTCCTGGTCTAATGCACTTTGTTTTTTCAGGTCATCTGCGTGCATGATGTCTCCTCCATCTACAGAGTGCCCTTACTGCTGGAAGACCAGGGGGTTGTAGGATACCTGAGTCGTCGGCTTAATATGCCCATCGAGACCCGCCCCAGGAAGATGCTCACCAAATGGAAGGAGATGGCTGACCGGTTAGTCACAACAGCAGAATGCCATGTTTTATTAATCTTAATCAACTCAGAGACAAATAGATGTTTCCATTATCTTCACAGATCAGACCGACTGCTAGAGCATTGTTCCATAGCCCTGGTGGGAAAGTACACAAAGTTCTCAGACTCTTATGCCTCTGTTATTAAGGCCCTGGAGCACTCCGCGCTGTCCATTAGCCACAAATTAGAAGTCAAAGTAAGTGCTCTTGTCTAAGTTGGAGTTTTCTTTAGGTTGCTTAGCTAATACATAGTGCAGCTTTGGTTGAATGTATTCATTTATTCTGGTGCTTCTTCTCTAGTACATAGACTCGGCATCTCTTGAGCCAAGTACACTACATGAGGAACCTGTAAAATACCATGACGCCTGGCAAAAACTCTGCAGTGCTGAGTAAGAGAAATGACTTATGTATTACTGTAAACTATAATTTATTTAGTATAACAATGGGGTATGCGTTTGTGCTTTCAGCGGCATCCTGGTTCCTGGAGGCTTTGGTGTCAGGGGAACTGAAGGCAAGATTCATGCCATTGGCTGGGCCAGGAAACAGAAGAAGCCTTTCCTGGGTAATACATTTGAAAGGCTTCTAAATACAATTGTATGATAACATTATTTTTTATGCATTTAATAACCATGCTTCTCTTTTGTACCCTTGCACAGGTGTGTGTTTGGGAATGCAGTTGGCTGTGTGTGAATTTGCCAGGAACATGCTTGGCTGGAAAGGTATGCTATATAACAATGTCAATACTACAATTCAGTATTCTCAAAAGTTGAGTTGAGCCTAATATATTAAATTTCATTTTTTGTTTTAGATGCAAATTCAACAGAATTTGACCCTGAATCTCAACATCCAGTCGTGAGTTAAACATGATGCTCTTTGTCATGATGTTTAAGATGAATCGACTTATTTGACTACATGTTTTTGTTACAGGTGATAGATATGCCAGAACACAACCCTGGCCAAATGGGCGGCACAATGAGGTTGGGGAAGAGAAGGACCATCTTTAAAACCAACAACAGCATATTGCGTAAGCGGGATTCAAAATGTATTGATTTGGATACATTTCAATGTTTTTGTACTTATGTACTTATCTTGATTTTAGGAAAGCTTTATGGAGATGCAGAATATGTTGAAGAAAGACACAGACATCGTTTTGAGGCAAGTGTGCCCACTCTTTTTTTGTAGCTAAGCTTACCTGGATGTAGTACTAAGTTCTTTGCTTCCTGATTTTAGGTCAATCCAGAGCTCAAAAGTCACTTTGAGGAAAAAGGTTTCCGATTTGTAGGTCAGGATATTGAAGGGGAACGGATGGAAGTTATAGAATTGGATGGTATGTGGAAATACTTATTTTTACTTTTTACTTAAATGTGTCATAGCTTTAACACTGAAAGACTCTTTTTGCCAGATCACCCATATTTTGTCGGAGTGCAGTACCATCCAGAATTTACCTCACGCCCTATAAAGCCATCACCACCTTATCTTGGATTACTCCTGGCAGCAGCAGGGAAGCTACCAAGCTACTTGCAAAAAGGATGTCGACTGTCTCCACGGTACATTGATGTTGTTGTCTTTAGGTTATGTAACCTTGCATGGTGTATTTACATTTGGCTTCCTTTTCAGAGACACATACAGTGATCGAAGTGGGAGCAGCACACCTGACTCTGAAATCTCAGAGTTGAAATTGCCATCACTTTCTAATGAATAAAAAGTATGGTTTATTTTAAACAGCTGCATAGTTTTTTACACACCTCAAAATAAATATTTTCAGATGTATTTTGACTTCATGCCGTTTGATTAGCTGCTTTGAACAGCTGTAGTCATGGTGGCCTAAAATATTGCCTACGGGTTCATAATCAATGTCACACCTTTACCAAGGCATTGCTACAATATGCAACATGTCGATAGACTTTAGTGTTTAAAGTATAGACGGACTGTAAAGCAGGGGTGTTGAGTACATTATGAGAACACTAGATTTTGAGCCACACCAGTAGGCTCAGAACATTGTGTGGAATTGAATGAGACTTAATCATGTGCCACACTTGACTGCAAGTTCAGGAGGAGGCCTGAGTGCTGCTTTTAACCAGTTTACTAATGCAAGGTGTTAACTGTACCAGGAGCACACAATTGAGTTTTAGTTAGATTTTGATCAAATGTCTTAACTTGCAGTTCCATTGTAGGATTGAAAGAATTTTTTATAGTTGAAGAATTTACACAAGTAGGTACACATTTTGGCATATACATTTATTGGTATCAGTAATCTCTTGATACAAGATACATTTGATATAGTTACTCAAGACTGAGCAAATAGAACAATTGAATGTCGGGTCCATTTGATCGTGAGCACTTCATCCCAATCTCGTCCCAGGACCTAAAACAAATTAACAGTTCAGTAAAACTTATTTACCTTTACCACAAAGCATTGTAGTACAGTTGATCTCAGTCCCATATCCGCAAGCTTCATCCAAAAGTCACCATTTAATTTGTGGTCATCATTGATCAGAAAATGACAGCATCTAAAAGCAATTTTGCTCACCTCAGAAATTGAAGCTAGTGGGTGACAGGTTTATATCTTATGATCCTTATACTCCTGTAGGGAAAAACAAACATTTCAGTATAGAGTTCTAACAAGAAAATGGGTCAACTATATTTAAACACTGCATTTGTTGGACAGTTGAGTGGCTGCTGATGGCACAGATGGGCCACAACAGTCAAAGACCACCCAATGTTCTTGCATGCACTTGGAGAACCAGCACTACAATCAAGCACAGGCCCTTAGGATAGCATGCCTTTCCCCATTGGTTTTGAGCTTTTCTGAATCAGAAATTTACCTGGTCAATAGACTTTGTGAGCACAATCTGAAGGAATCTCGCCACAGCTTCCTGAAAAAAAAAATAAAATAGTTTGAAGTCTCCAAAAATACTTAACCTATCCTTGTTGCATTCTAAAGTGGCTCAGGTAGAGTACATAGAAGTCTCAGCACCTTTATCAGTGAGGGCAAGTGTGTCATCAAAGCCATTAGACTAGCAATAAAAAGTACTTCAAAATTTACCTTACTATAGTAAACTCCTTTTAGACGTTTAAGAAATCAAGTTATGCCATTTCCATATTCCACTGACAGGCAACACCTACACAAGACACTATGGTTAATACAAACACAAAAATATGACACGATTTCGATGATGTCCTTTCCCTAAATGTTGCTGAGACAGTTACATCGAACTGAACAGCGACCGTCGGTGAAAGTATTCATTTTGGCATCCTTTTGACCGTCCACTGCTACCACAGAACATGAACGGCTTCGATAGGTGCCTTCAGGTTATTAAAGTCTGATACTTGCCCATTTTCTGCTGCCTCCATTCCAACGTCCATTAGCATGAGCATTTGTCTCAGCTGGAAGAGAAAAATAATTTCAGCTTACCATACACATTGCATTTCAAGTTAAGACATCAAGTATTAACTTTTTGTAGATACTAAAAAGACTATGCAGACACCACGTGGTTTGCACACAAGTACTAATTATAAATGTAGTGCGCTTTTTACCACATCTGCCCACTGTGCAAAAAATATTTCTATATCTACATTTAAAGTATAAGCCTAAAATTAAGATGCCCAAAAATTCCTAACAAGTCTTTACTAGACCTTGCTTGTTAGCATGATAGCACGAGTCAGCTTTGACCCACTTTTTCACTTCACCATTTGAATTGATGCGCTCACATCCAAAAGATTAAAACGATGGGGCTTTTGCACGCAGTATTAACTAAACAAAGCAAGTTAAAAAAAAAAAAAAAAAACTCTAACATACCTTGACAAAATCTGTAAACTATCTTCGGACCCTTCTTCCAAGAAACACGAGGGAGGAAGAGACTGAAAAGCAGGCAGCATGCGATTATATACGCCAGCGCCTTTCCGCTCCTCGCTGATTGGTCCTTTCAGCCCACGTGTTAAATGGCATTCTGGGATATGTAGTTTGTTGTGCGTTTTGTGCAATAGCTGCGTTTGTATTGTCACAGGACACCACTTATGAAGCCATAAACATACATAACGACATTTAACGAGTCTCTATCCAGCCGCTGAGCTGAAACAACGTTGATAAATATGCCAAATTGTTATAACAGAGCCATCCATAGTTTTCCCGACCTTATTTCAGAACCACGGACAGCGACCTCCCTTCTGCCACTATTTAGGACCTGCAGAGGAGGCCCATTTAACACATGACTTAAGCAACAAGAAACATTAACAATAACAACTAGGTGAAATGTTACCAAGAACATGGGAATGCGAATGATCGTCATTAACTTACATGTGACCCAGACATAGATTTTCCGGCTTAAAATATCAATAGGGCTTATCTGTTTGTTCTTACAATTGACCCGTGTGACTGTAGGTTTATAGTGGCCCGTGGTGGAGCAGAGGTACAGGCGTCACGTGATTTGCGCCGTGGTTAGCCTGTTCCGCGCTCCATCCTCCAGAACAGCGCACGTACGGACGACCAGCAGCGCAGCCTGGGCTCCATGTAAACATTTTGTGGGGGGCTTTTGTTCCACGCACGATAGTCATGCCATGGATATTTTGTGGCAATACCAGTTTAGGATCATTCTGCTTGGGGATTCCACTGTGGGCAAGTCGTCGCTGCTCAAACGCTTCACGGACGGTATTTACAGTGATGTAGCAGATCCCACGGTCGGCGTAGATTTTTATGCCCGATCGCTCGATATCGAACCCGGGGTAAAGATAAAGCTCCAGTTGTGGGATACGGCCGGACAGGAGCGATTCAGGTGAGTAATTTCTCGAAAATAACACATCTGTTTTATAATATATCACATGGCGTTTTTCATCATGGGAATCTGACGTTTAATAATGGAAGGGCATAGGCGTAGTGATCTACGAGGGACAAAACCCACTAATGGTGCCTCATTTCACAGCCTGCACATGCAACCTGAACTAGCCTATAGTAGCCTAATTTATTCGTAATACAGGCATACAATAAAATCTCTATACGCTTAGAAAAAAAAGCATGATACATACTGTCCAGAAATGCACAGACTCATTATGGCCTCCGACAACAGCAGCAATGGCCTAGCAACATCAACATTCTTAATGAAAAATATATAATGTCTGCATATGCAAGACTGACTCACAATTTATGTAAAATGACTAAATGTAAAAATAAAGCTACGTGTAGTTGCACATTTAATCAGTTTCTGTTGCTATGCAGGTTTAACACACAATATACAGTGACAAATGACATACAGCTTACATTTCTATGATGCAATCTGGACTTCTGGACTAAAATCTATCTTAACAGCTGAGGTGATAAAAGAGCTGTTTGAGAACAAGGTCAGGGCATGGATATTACTAGCTCTGGTCTTGTGGTGTCCCAGCCTCTGTATGAAAAAATCATGTTGCATCATCGTTCCATTCATTCACGGATGATGGACATTTCTGCATCCTCCTCATTCTCTTGCCTCCGCTTGTTTTTATGCTTTGGGAATCTACAGTCTCCTAGGCAACGGAGACTGCAACAGGAGGATGACAAGTCTCAAATGTGGATCTTCTTGCCTGTTGATTGTTTTGCTTCATTTGTAGCTGGCTGTCAAAGCATTTCTTAGTGGGTTAGATCTCTTTTGCTTTTGAAATCCAGGCTTCTGAAGAGAGGTTTTTCCACAGGCTCTCTTTCACTTCTTCTTTGCCACAATGGGGAAAAAAAAAAAAAACAGTATGTGGTTTAAGAAGGCTATGGATCGAATCTAGATTAGCAATAAAAACTATTTGAATGCTGATTAAGTTCATTTAATGTTTTACAATTTTTACATGGTGTGGAATAGCCTACAGGGCAAAACCAAGGAAAACTGAAGCCATCTGCTGACCTTTACCCCCCACAGTCCTTTTGTTTACTTTCTACTTTAGTTGAGTGAAATGCCTAACAAAGAAGCTGTAAGACTTTACTGGTGTCACTAAAGACACTAGAAATCCTTGTTTTGGAATGCTAAATAGCATAATAACCCTATAATCCAGATCAAAATGTTTGCATAAAATTGCTTTCCCAGGTCAAAAACCACAAACCAAAAAACATATTGGTTTGTATTCCATCTTGTGACAATATGCTAGTTCAGCAGTTTAAGTTTTTATCTATAAAGTAATGCTTCCCTCTGTTTTTCTAGTCAGACTAAACCCAGCTTTAGTGAATGGGGAAGTAGTTGTAACTACTACTTAAAAAAACAACAACTTGCTTGCATTCCCAGACAGACTAAAATGTTTAAGTATTTTGTCTTACAGAGATCATAATTGTGCTAAACATTTCTCCATTTTGATTATTATGACAGTGATTTATTATAACATTATGATACCTGAAGAATAATAAAATGTATTTGTACACAGCCTAGTACAATGGCTCTCACAAACACCAAGCACTGCATATAATAAGATATTGCTAATATTGGGCTAAACCAGGTCTAAAATAGGACCACTGTCGTAATAGTTATAAATGTCCAAAGGACGGCAAAAATATGGATAAAATTTATTCTAAACTAAGACTACTAGTGTTGTGACAATAAAATTTCCAACTTATCCAACTAATAATACATTTTATGTATATTTCTTTACAGTTGAAAAACTAATCTCAAAATAGCTTATATAAGTTCTGATGAATCTCAAATGCTTACTAAAGCTGTTTAGGAAACCTAAAATGTTATGCTGTTAATGTGATTTTTTGCAGTATTGATACTTTATCTGATTTTCAATACTTTGAGAATCCTAAGCACTACAAATGAAGAGCTGTCAGCATGTCACAATTTGACAACCGCCAACCTCGTTCTAACCATCTGAGTCTTTCTCTCTCCTCTCCAGATCCATCACTACCTCCTACTACCGAAACTCTGTGGGTGGTCTGCTGGTGTTCGACCTGACCAATCGCAAGACCTTCGAGCACGTGAGGGACTGGCACAAGGAAGTAAGTGAGCACATCCTGCCCCATCACATGGTCTACATCCTCATCGGCCACAAGAGTGACCTTAACAAAGAGCGTAAAGTTACCCGCGATGAGGCAGAGCAGCTGGCCGCAGACCTGGGCATCCGTTACGTGGAGACCTCCGCCAAGTGCAACAGCAATGTGGACCGCGCCTTTGAACTGCTCACCAGGGACATCTACGAGCTCATGAAGATGGGAGAGATCACCACCAGAGACGGATGGGACGGGGTCAAGAGTGGTCTGACCGCTAAGGTGCTCTACCCGGCTGATGAAGAGGAGGAGCTAGCTAGAGCAGCCCCAGAGAAAGGCTGCCAGTGCTGACTGCTGAAGGACTCTGTGGTATGGTACTGGTCAGGGTGGTGCTGTGGGGGTCTACTGAGGGGAGCTAGCTGGACACTGAAGAGTGGGATGTGCAAAGCAAATCTGTAAACAGCGCAATGACACACGGTAGTTCATACAAAAAAGTTCAAATTAAACCCTGACTTGACATGAATTAGAAAAATAATATAGTTTGTGACAAAGACAACATTAATATTTATAGTTTGCAGTGACATTATGCTGGGTGTTGAATACAAACATTTTGTATGAATACAAAATTGGCCACACAGGTATATATTTCAGAGACAAATAATTTATTTTCATCAAATTAAATACAAATACACTCTTCAAAAGGATTTTCATGACAGTCTGCTTAAATGGATCATGGTGAACAGACCATCTGGCACTCTCTAAAATTAGAAACTGTTATTTCCAATCAACACAAACTAAAACCAGAAAAAGACACTTAGTATGTTGAGTGCTGACTAACCTGTATCATACCACTCCGATGGAAACTCTGTCTACTCTTCCACTTGTTCTCACTAGTAGCCCTCCAACAGACAGAGTGGAGCTGGGTACCACCTTTTTCACCTTCATCATCCTCACCATGTGCTGTGTGGGACTGGCCTGATAGAGGACCAGTGTAGAACCTGTCATGTCTCCAAACCATGTGATGAAGCATGTTGGACTGTGTTCTGTTCAGAGGAGGGAGCCTGCTCAGGCTTTGTGGCTGCAGTTAAAGGACTCCTAACAGAAGGTATACGAACTCTTCAATTCACCTCAATGTTTTACTGCACTCTGTGGGTTTCCATGTGAATTAGCCTGCCATCTTGTGACTGTACCATTGTAAATATAACACAGATCTATTGAGATGAAAACTGAAAAGGTCAATGAGCGCTGTTTGATGAGGATAGATGCACTCTCCTCTCTGTGTCATAAAGTCTATGCTTAAAGCTGTAAGTGCACCTACGCCAAACTTAGACTCTCCATTCTGTGAATAGATGACTGTTTTGTAAAGAAATTTAGCTGTAGGTAAGATATCTAGAGTAAGACTGAAACATAGTTTCATTAAAGTATTTGTATTATAGATGCCGGTGCACAGAGTTAAAAGTTTTATCAAGCTTTTATCAAATGTTAGTATTTGATTACGCTTTAAAGCTGTAGTTATTTTTACAATCATGTTCTAAACAATGTCTCCTTTAAAAAGAAAAGAATAATGCTTCACCACACAAGTAAAAGACAAAATGGAAATTTTTTGTTACTTGTAAAAAATAAAAATGCTTTTGTTTCCCATACTCAATCACAAACAAATTGTAAGACTTAACTTACTTAACCTATATTCTATGTCTAACTTGTATACTAGCTCTCCAACAACTGGGTGCACCTTAGATGGAGAGTGGGTTTTTCTCATTTAACCAAATGTTCAGCATTCACAATATGTAGTGCAGTTTTGTCTAATTTTCTTCTACTGAATGATTCCCATGTTGCTATTAATTAAAACAAACTACTAAATTGTCATCAACATTGCCAAAATATAACAATTTTTACCTCTTCAGTAATATAGGCCTATACAATAATACAATAACTGTGTGAGTCAGGTTCTTTATTTACTTTGATGGACAAACTGCTATTGAAAAATATTAAAAACCAAATCAGCAGAACTGATTACAAAGAAACTATCCTTCCAATACTCTGGCATGTGTTCAAACAGTCAGAAGCACAGGGAGCATTAACATTATAAGCATTTTTGGATTAACTGACTTCACAAACAATGAAATGCATTCATATAGAAATTCACTAGTCTAATCTTCATATAATGTACGAGTCTAATCACTAGTCTAATCTGCATATCATTTGTACAATTTAAAGAAAACAAATGCAATAAACAAGTCTACATATACAGTGACAACTCTTGAAAAAATATGATCTAATATTTAAATTAGTTCTTAGAAAATAACATAAATATTGAATAACATGTTATGTTAATAATTCAATTTAAAAATGTCCAAATGATGACTGGATATTGCCTGATGGAGACTTTGAAACTATTATTTGTCTGAAGATTGTCTGTAACCCGGACCTAATTTTGAGCAGCCATGTATTTTTGCCTAAACATCATATGGTTGTAATATCCACATGCCATTTTGCATCATCCCTTTACTATTACAGCTAAAATTATAATACAAAGATACTGACTTATTATAGCATGGGTTAATTGACAATCAGATATGCTGTTTTATTTTCATTGATTTTATTTCATTTTATTTTTATCTAATCCAAACAAAAACAATTGTAAATTGTCTGTGATTGTCACCTATATATTCTAAAAATGACAACATATGCCATTATTCCACCAATAGACAGAACAATTTCAAATATAATATATACATTACATAGGCCTATATAAGCGTGAGCAGAGTGCATTTTTTGCAATAACAGTAGTAAGTATGTTTTACAACAAACTGGCAGACTGAAATCAAGCTGCTTCATCTTCTGTACTAAAAATAAATAACAATATTTATTTTGTATATTGTGTTTAAGGAATTGCCTTTTATTCATTGTAATTTTACGGATTGTTTTAAAATAAATACATTGATGTTCGATGAATTACGTCGAGAGTTGTTTGTGCTATCTTGCGCTCTCTTGCGCTCTCTTGTGGTCCTTATGTGGAATGGAATGACCCAGTTAGTGCTCTGGAGAATATGACATACAATGCTTAGAAAATCATTATAATTAGACTATACTAGTAATTACATATACTTGTATACTTATAATAATGGAAAAAGAGAAGGCTATTTGATCTGATCTTAACCGTGATAGCCTCTGGACAGCCCACATTAGTGGTTATTAAACATTTGTGTCTCTATTACCCCCTAAACTTTGTTTCACAGTCCGACTACTCCCTAGCCAGTATATACCCAGTTCCCGAGATTGGGTATATAATACTGTTTTACTGTAGCTGACTTTGTCATTATTTCTTTTATATTTCTTGTTTTATTTGATGATATTGATGTTATTTAGGACACCACTATTTAAGTGGTTTTGTATTTAAATTACAATAACTACAGCTTCTAACAAAATCTTTTTTATTTTTGTCTTACATCTCTGCAGATTAACTTCATTTTATTAGTTTATATATATATATATATATATATATATATATATATATATATATATATATATATATATATATATATATATATATATATATATATATATATATATATATATATATATATATATATATCACCTTCCACAGACCTACCACCGTAAGGTGAGAAACACATTTATATATATATATTTTTTTTTATATAAAAATAAAACCAAAGTTTTTCTCTGAACTATGAACGCAACACAGAGATCACCAATGAGGGAGAAGATGAATGTATTTCACCGCCCCCTTTTTTACCCATCATGCCTTTTGTACAGAACTGTGAAACAAAACATTACGTTTCTTTAAAGCACTGTACAAACAGGGTATTTCTTAGTCTGATATTTTACCAGCTTGCATTGCATTTATTGCTGAAAGCATAATAATACACCACTCACTCAATTTTTGTTGATTTAATATGCTGTGGATAAAACCCTGAGCGAGAGTCAGCTGCCTCCTAGTGACGAAGTGCCGCATTGAGTATATTCGTTAAAAAGGGTTTCTGCTGTGAATAGCACACGGAGGGTGACTATTGTTATCCTTCGTGCGGAATCGCAATCAAGAGATTTCGGAAGCATAATTTTTAATACCGGGGCTGCTAGTGATCTTTTGTCCTGGCGCCCCAACTAAGAAGGTTAAATAAAATACTGAATAACTAAAATGACGCTAGGAGACAAACCTTACGGGCGGTACGGTCTGTTACATTGACAGATATTTCCCTCATGTACATCTGTTTGGACATAGCAGCACATATCGACAACTTCTGCCTCACAACATGCGAATCTACATGTACATTATATATTGTATATAAGAAAAAATAGTACTTAAAACTCGTGAAATTGACGGCAGACTGAAATTGACAGTAGACTGAAAGTTGAGGGTCACATTTGAGCGACACTAGTAGATCTACATAGCAAATCCAAACAATGCTGAACACAGCTAAACTGGCAAAGTGGTATGTTTGTACAGTACAGCCCTTTAAAACAGTTAAAAACTTGTGTTTTAACGAAATTTACAGAAGCGTGAAAAGAAGCCGCTGTTCAGCAGGAAGTAAAGCCGTAACCGCGATGTGCGCATGCGCCTCAGCTTCTCCCAATCTAGGGATGTGTTTCAGTCCATAAACGGTAAGGCTTGAATTATATGTTTCTCTGCTTTATCAATGTAATTTTGGTAGATATTCGAGTCGCTCGGGGCACACACACGGCAGGTGTAGTTATGTTTTGGCTTTAATTCACACAGAGCCAATCAGCCAGGCTCGTACAGAATGGAGGGGCAACGCCGTCGCCGCGCCGTTGTTTGCCGTACGTGCTGCCGCACAGGGAGACGTCATTTTGAGGGGGAGCGGAGAGTTAAAATGCACAGTTACGAAGGGACGCACGGTTCATAGACAAGCGGCACGCAGCCGTCACACTCCTAATGCAATCCTCTGCTCGCCCTGGGTCATTTAGTTTACTCTTATTTCAATGAATTACACAGCTAGTTACGCCCTTGTGTTAGCCATAATGGCTACCGTCAATGCTAGGCTGAGCAGCTCTACATCTCAGCTAGGAAAAGCTGTCAGCTGCCTTTGGCGGCAACGTTATGCGGCTTTACTAAAAATTAAATAGTGCAAGCCTCTAAATGTTTCAAAGTTTCCACAACAAACGTTCATTTATTGTAAATATAATATAATATTACATATTATATATGAATATAATATTAAACTTTTATACAACTGCAATAAACAATATATAGCACGATCAATATTTTCAATATGTTCTACATTTTAGGTCGCCTATTTTTAGTTTAGGTGTCATTCTCAGGGGTGAAAAGTAACTAATCACAAATACTCTAGTTACTATAAGTAACTACATGGAGTAGAATTTTTGGGGGTTATTATCCTTTTTTGACTTGATTTCAAGCCTACTTTTACAATTACAAGTACTACTGTACTTGTAAATTTCAAGCACAACTTGTAATGGGGTATAATTGTAGCAGGCAGTTGTTATCAGTTATATTTAAGATTTTAGAAGTTAGTGAGTACAGTACCCAGTTATCCTATAATGCACAGAGCTGTCTCACTATAGTCAGCAGTTTATATGTTCTATATCTACAAAGAAACAGAGTGTGGCCTCAGATTACACAGTTTAATTGAGTGCTGTTGTTTATAGATCAAAATGGCTTACTGAATTGGGTAGGCCTTCAGAATATATAGGTTAACATTTTATGCCAAATATGCCGGCAGTGTGTATGTGTATTGCTTACATTAGTTTCAAATTATGTTCTTGTAGAGATGAACATAATTCTGAAAGGAAGTTGCAGAAGTGCTCCCCAGTTGTAGGAGACTGTTATGGCATCCCCTGATGAGGTCACTGTGCCCACTGTGGAGGACATGGTCATGGTAAAGGTAGAGGACGGTGACCCTGATGACCCCAACAAAACTCAAGTCATTCTTCAACTTCAACAAATCACAGGGTTTGTACTTGACATTTTGTTGTTTAATAAAACATGTCTAGTGTGAGATGACGGTTTCTTACTTTGCCTTACCATATACTAATTTTGTAGTGATGAGTCAAGTGAAGCATCTGCAGCAGTCATGGCTGTTGAAGCTGCTCCAGGTAAGAGAGCTCAAGTTGGACTAGATACTTCAAAAATATTTCAGTTGTTGATGTAATGTTTTCCAATTTTTTCAGAACAAGGTGAAGAAGAAGTCGAAATTGGCTGTCCCATCACATGTGGCGACTGTAAAGCTCTATTAATTTTGAAGAAATTTGTTTGCCCAGGGATAAATGTAAAGTGTGTAAAGGTATACGCTCTTTTGTATTTGAAGTCACATACTGTAGTTCTCTTGAATTTACTGATGTCATTGAGGTTCAAAAAATCACTTTTTTTAACATCACTTGTCTGACTAGTTTGGAGACCAGCTCATTAGCCCAAAACAATTTGTCCATCTATCTGGAAAAGCAACTCTGAAAGATTGGAAAAGAGCCATACGTATGAACGGAGTCATGCTGAGGTGAGTGCTGTCAGTCAGTTTGAGAGAAAATTGCATTCTATTTGTTCCACAGGTATAGAACTGATGATTTTTTCCTTTGCAAAGAAACACCAATATATCTAGGTCAGACTTTGCTCATTGTCAAATTTTTTGACCTAAATTTAGAGACATTAATCTGATCATACTCTTTTTTGACCAGATTTCTACTAGTGGCAAACTACAAGCCACTTAATGATGAAAGACATGACATGAAAAACAACAAAATGCTTTTTAAAATTTTTCCAGAAAAATGATGGATTCAGGTCAGCTGGACTTTTATGAGCACACCACACTCTGCACTAACACATGTCGAAGTACCAAGTTCGATCTTTTAATCAACAATACCAGGTTCCCTCCGGATGGCACTGGACTCACTACTCCCACTCAAGGTAAATAAGCATCAATGTACATTGTAAAATAATACTTACATACTATGTCAGCAATTTCAAAACACTTGTGGAACCTTTTACTTTCTTTGGTCCAGTTATCATTAGCCCATAAAAATTAATTATCAGCAACCACCTTAGAACAACTTAAATCTTGCTATATAGAGGCACTTCTACTTATGCAAGTGTTATTAGTTAGTAATTTAACACTTGTTTTATATTTAAAATGTTTTGTAGGCCAGACAGTTCTAGGTAATGGTGGCACTGGTGGAGATGGCCAAACAGAAGGTCTGGGTGCCAAGTTGGAGTGGAGCTCTGGCGACACAACGGAAAAATCCAACGAGATCTCAGGTCAGTTACACCTCATTGCACAACTGGAATGATTTGCGCTCTTCATCTGGCTTGTAAACAAAGCTACCAAATACATTTAATCAAAAATAATTAAGGACTTTTTAACGAGCTGCTTAGGTCCTTTGCAACTTTTCTGGTAGAAGATCTGTAGATCTCCATGGAGATGCTATTTCTTTAATTGTGATGCACAGTAAGGTATTAAACCATTGATCTTGCCTTGTGTGTTTTTACTGATAAAAAATACCAATAAACATAGATTTTTACTGTGAGCAGGATCACATCTCCATAGATCTGACCTATAACTTGTCCTAGTGGCATCACCTGCTTGTCTCCATGAAGCGAGATGAGTTTAATACCTTAATGGAGAATATTTCAGGCAAAACAATATATCCAGATATACTGAAGCATGCTATCCAATAAAACTATTACCTTAATTTATCATCATCATTCATTAAAAAAACAAAAAACAAAACATTCATAATACAGAGTTAAATGCATCAAAACTATCAATGTGCCCACCACTCTCATAAACTCTGCATAAAACGAAACAATATTCCCTTTCCATGTTCCAATAGAGGACACGCTGAACTTCTGGAAGGGCATTGCAGATGTGGGCTTGCTGGGGGAAGTGGTGACCAATATCAACACTGAGCTACTAGCACTACTCAACGGAGTGCAGCAGCGGAGTGAACCAGGCGTGTTACAGGACACAGGTACAGAGATATGCATGGTGCAGGAGGGGTTAATGACACATCTATAATTACATCATAATTGTCATAATTTCAGTAATTCCAGATAAAGAGCAGTGGCCTTTATGTCTGTGGTCCATTTGCATGTTTTGAATGAAATAACCAAATAGAAAATCCAGATATGTTGGAACATTATTATTTTTGGGAGGGATTAGCTCCATGAATATGCCATAGTAATAACAACGATCACACCTGTTTGGATCATGCTGCTCATTTTTAATTATACTGAAAAAAATATTTCACCTTAGTGAAATTTTTTTTGAAATTACAATAAACTTTTCATAAGATAATGTTTTTGCCTTTTTTGTTTTATGAGGTTAGGTTCTGAAATTGCATAGAATTACATAAAATTCTGACCTGCTCCCCATCTTAATATTCAATTTTGCTAATATGTAAACCTATTGTATCGACACTGAGACAAATGATGATTTGTATATGATCGTTCCATTTTTAGAATGGTAATAGATGCATATCTTCATATTTTATTATTTATTTATAAATCACAAATGTCATTCACATTTCATAAAAGTAGCTTATCGTTATCATGTAAATGGAACTAATTGTAGCTATAGAAGGAAAAAACACATTCAGCTGCTATTGACCCTTTTGTCTGTCTAAACAACATGGCTGAGCTGTCAAATGCACAGTGTAAAACATTGTAAAAATAGATTAGATGATTATTAAGTTTTATATCTTAGCATACGCGTGTATATTATAATAGAAGGCAGTTTAAACTAAGGATTTTCTATTCAGACAAATTCTTCAATCAATTAACCAGTATAGAAAAAGTTTTAATTACTACTGGAAAGTGTAGTATATTAGTAAATTACTTGTCTATGTAAATGCCCCCTATATTGCCTGTGTAAATACAATTGTATGACTTTTGTAAGGGTCTATGAAGCATTCAAATGTATAATAATGAGTTTGAATGCACAGCAGCTGGATGTGTCCCTTCTTTCTAAATGAGTGACCCTGTGCTTGATTGCCGCACTGATCTCAGATTCCTGTCTGGTAGAGGTGGCTGTGCTCAGTAACCTTGCCCAAGTGTTCGGTCTACTGGACACGGTCAAGAGGATCCTGGAGCGACGGAGAGAGCAGACTGACCCCAACCAAGAGGAGGAGCTACGAGTTCTCAATAGTAAGTAGTGGTGTTGCTGTGTTTCCCACAAATGTCACTGGACAAAAAAGCACAGATTGCAAATTAGTTGCTTCAGTATTATGATATTTCTCAATATCATAATAGGCATAAAGAGTCATTTGTATCACCAGTTTATGTTCAGCAGCTTTTTAGACTATGAGGGTAAAATTTTACCAATTTTGGATACTAAGGCAAAGTATTGATACTTGATACCACTTTCAATACCAGAATTATAATAAAGATAATAGAATGCAAGTTGTAAAACAAAATCTTTTTTTTTTTTATTACAATGTGGTCTTGGATTATAATTTTGATAAAGATCTTGATCATTCTAAAACTATGCAGGAAAGATTCCATTTATGTGATTGCGCTTTGTGTATGTTGTTCATACTTCAGTAAGGATTAGTGTCTGGATATACCTTAGTTTATATGAGTCATACGCAAGTATAAATTTCGAGCTAAATTAAATAATGATTCATAATCTTTTCGAATGAACTATTCAATCTTTTAATTGCTTATTTTCAAAGCACCATACTGCTGATCAATCCCTGTTTTGGTGATACGAGCAGGATTCAACAGAGCTGCGTAATCATTTTGCTTCAAATGAGAAAAAAAAAATAAAAAATCAGCTTGCTAGCGTGATCTGCAGCTATCCATAGTAGATGCTGACTCTTTGTTGTGATGGTGTTTGCTTCCATTGGGTACTGCAGTTTTCTAAAACGGAAGTCAGCAAGTTTTTTTTTTTTTTTTATTAAGTTGGTTTAGGTCAATATTGTGATTTAAAATGTGCGAATATGCAATGTGCAGGATTCTGTTGTTTTTATTTTTTTTCAACTTACCTTGCAGAGTTGAGCAGACAATGCAATTATAATTGCATACATTTAAACAATAATTTTGATCTTGTAGCAGACATATCACACACCTCTATGTTTTATAATATAGAAGTCTCACTAACTCACTAGTACTAGTATCTTACTGGTAATAAGCATAATTAGTGTTTAATTATTAAATTTAGCTCAATATTGTAACACATCAATAGCAAGGCCACAGCAAACCTCATAAGGCCATGGTTTATTTCGTAGTTGCACTGTAATGAGTAAAAGTTTAGAAACTACAGCTGACATTTTTCAGCTCAAACATGCAGACAATATGGAGTGATTATTGGTTTCACATATCAATATATGTTTGCGGTCCACATTTTAATGGATTTCCTCATTCAATATGTTTACATGCACATCAAGATAAATTGGCCAGTTAACCAGTTTAACAGTTAAAAAAAAAATGCATGTAAACCCGGGAACTACAATTGAGGTGTGAATCGAATCTCATAGATTGCAATAACACATCTACAGAAGCTGATATGTAGGCAGACACCTGCTGTGCATAACCAGGCTTCAAAATTAAAATAGGGACAGACTAGGAGCAGCGTTTAATTTCACAGGGTGAGAAACAGCCAGGAAAATATGTTTGGATGTGTAGTAATTTTAAATTGGCAGTGATGACAAACTATAGCCTCTCTACCGAGCACCCATTGACCATTGCTTTGTTTTGGTCTACTAAAAAAGTGAAAATGAAGCTGACTGCAGCTGCAGTGTAGGCTATATTTGTGTTGTAGAGAACAATGTGAGTAATACAGTTCCTACCATCTTGTTTGAAAATCAGAAGCTCAATGTAGATGAGACATTGCTTATCTATTTCTGCCAAAAGTGTGGTTATATGTCTTAAAGCTCCTCACTCACTAATTTCCCCTTTTTGCTGTTGTCCCATATACACATAATTGTCCCATAAGCTAGACAAAATTATTAGTCGAATACATATTTTGGTTGACCAAGACTTTGCTACCTGCATGGGACAAGAGTGCTCTGAGAAGTTTTGGACCAAAGATTATTTTGAATTTGCTTGTTTAATGCACTTCAATTTCCCTGTACATGTAAATGTGGTGATTGTTCTTTGTTGTAGATTTGGAGCTACAGTTGGAGGAGCAGAAGAAGCAACAGCAAGTGAGAGCTCTGCTATCCTGCCCTCAACCACCCAAAATCAAGACCCCCACCAAGCGCCCCACCAAACGGCCCAGACTCACCCGACCCGCCTCCACCACCACCCTGCTCGCCTCACCCCAGCAGACCGCCACCCTCCAGCCGCAGCAGTTCACCGTGCTCTCCCCCATCTCCCTGACCTCTGTGGGGCAGCCGCTGACGGTCACGGGGCTGCCCATCGCTTCCCTGGCCCAGTCCCCCAACACAGTCACCCTCTTGCCAGCCGGATCGCAGTTCTTCACCCGATACATGGTGGCGGGTGACGGAAAGACTGATACCATAACGCTACACCCGTCATCTGGGCTCACTCTGGTGGGTGATCATGGATAGAAAAAAAAAAAATCAAATTATAATAGATGAAGGAGTCAAAACAATATGGTTTTAAATAGGGAAAAAATAGAAAAATTATCTTGTGTGTTTTTCCCCAAAAAAGTTTAAGTGCTGTTGAGTTGCACCTCCTTGAGAAGCTGTATTTCCAAAGCATAGGGCTATAGTGACAACACAAGTCATAAAATTACAAAAATTGGTTGGCCATAATTTTGAACTGGATTTCACAATTTATGTATTACAAATTATGTCAAAAATGATAAATCTAACCTTATTCAGCAAATGCTGTTGAACACTTGCTGGTGTTTTATTCTACACCACTTCTACTTCTGTGAGGCAGCACTAGTAAATTAAATACAGCATGTTACATATATTAATTATGACCCATATGTCATGCAAGCTAATGAATTGCGTACAAAAAAGTGGGCTTCATTCCACTGCTTTAGAACTAAATTGCGCTGAAAAATTTATACAATAAATAAAGTTTGTGGCCAATATTTTGCTGATGTGGACTCCACAATTTAATGTTTGAATTCATACATTAGTTCATGCAGAATGAGTGTATTGACATAATTACTTGAAGATTGACTTATCATATATCAATTTATGACATTGTAGCCATATTATTATGGTTTTCCCTTATCATTATCTTGATCTGAGTTGATTTTTGGTTCATGTTTGAGTAATTTAGTATTGCCCTGTATCTGAGACGTAAGTGCTCAGAAATGTAAATTTTCAAATTTTCAATTAAACAAAATGTAAAATAATTATCTTTAAAATTGTCCTCCATACAGCAATTGGCTATGCTGTGTGCCAATGTTGACTATAGTTGGATACAGCTTTCTGTTTTTCAAATGGTGCAATGATGTGTAATAATCTGCCCCGTTTGAAAATGCTTGCCTTTTATCTGTGGACTGATCCTATCTGATGGTATTTACAGGACTCGAGCCAGCTTGGGGCCATGATGAACCCTGTGGAGTTGGTCCAGCTGAGCCAGCAGGGCGGCAGCACTGAGATGGTCCCCCTGGATGGTCAGGTGGTGGTGCAGCAGGAAGGCGAGGTGCAGGACCAGGCTTTAGGCGTGATGGAGCTCCAGCTGACCGGGGACGCCGCTAAAGATGCCATGATGGTCCAGAGTGGGATGGAGGTCGCCATGGCAACAGAGGGGGAGGAACCACAGTGCCAAACACAGGAGGGACAGACTGACACGACCCAGGGGCTGCAGCTGGATGCCAGTGGACAGTTACAGGGCGTACAAATAGTGGTGTTAGAAAATTAGAAAACTCAGGAGGTCACATAGACTTTTTAATTGTGTGGAGCAGGATTGGACTGTGTCCTTTGTAAATACACAGATATTGCATTGGCTTCAGACCAAGTGCTAGGGTAGCCATTTCCCTCTTCGGTGTGTTAGTGAATGTTCCTCACCACCACTTTTATTCTTTGTACGGAAAAGCAGAGGAGCAGACATTTCGTTTGTGCCTCTCATAGTTTTGTAATATAAGGAGCATTCCAGTTTACTACAACAAGGTCACGGCGTTTGTGAATAGAATCATTAGTCACTCCATTTTGAAACTGTAGTGACGTTATGAGATTAGGACCAAAGTTGTGTGTAACTGGAAATGTCCGTTTGGCCTCTTTAGAACAATCAGAGGAGAATGCACTATCAGCGTCTACATGCAGGGTTCACCAGTGCTATTCAGCCCACATTCTCTCATTCAGAATCCTCATTTTCACCAAGTGCTTTGATTCTGTTCTTTAATGACAAGTTATTCAAATGTTAAACATAAATATAGACAAATGAATTAGATACATTCCTATTGTATATTCACTGACCGGTGGTTTATAGGCAGAACTGCATTGTCCAGGGTGGTAAAGGTAAAGCTACATTGCCATGACAAAACATTTAAAAAACATAAACTGTCTCATGCAATATAGGAGAATTAAATTGGTGTAATTATAAATACAACATGATTTTCTATATATCTCTTTACTGAGGTAGATTAGAAGAGAACTTTGTCTGTTCTAAGATGAACTTAAGAGGAACTTAAACTTTTCTGATTGGGAGTGTCATCAACTTTTCTCCTTGCAGATGTAATTGCTTTGCCTGGAATTTTCCACACTATGCCATTAAATTTAATAGCAGGTTGGTGTTTTATTGCTCAAGATTACCTTGGAAAACATGCATTTGTAAAATGGGACGATTTGACCTGTGTAACTTCACCTGGTGGCCCCTTTTCCTTGTCACCATGGAGATAGATTAATTTATTCCTATACAGTTGAACATTCCAGGTAAAGCAATAACATCTCTGTGGACACTCAACCAAAAAAGTAACATAGTGCACCTTTAAAATTATTTGTCATGAACTAACTGTACTGTTAATTTGTGTATATGTGTAAAAAAAAAAAAAAATCAAAACCCCGATGTTCTTGAGTATACTCCACCAGATCAAATCCTACCTTGGTGAAAATGAGGCTTCACTGACCCATTTACAGGCCATTGCTGCCTATGGTCACCACTCTTACCAGGTTCAGTGTTGAAGTTACCTTTGGGATTATTGCACTGTCTATTGTGTTGTAGTGTTACATCTTAAACTATAGCAGATGTAAGGTTTTTGCACATTGTGGTGGTCACCTTTTCCTGTCCACGCCAGATGTTTTTCGCAACGTTGCCTGCTCCCTTAACATTTCTTTAGCCACAGCTTGGGCAGAATGTCTTCTTCTGTGTATAGTCCGGCACTCACTGGAATTGCATTGCTTGTGTAATTATGATTTATTTTTGGAGTGCTTTCTTGATGACTGAATTTATGGAGAGTTTTGCTAATATTTTTTTAAATAGTTCTCATGCGTTCCTTTTTCAGTATCGCAAGTCAAGTGACCTACTGGGAAGATGTGTCTCTATGTTACGCTTGGTATGCCTGTATTTTACATTTGTATATTAGTGTCATATTTTATTTATTAGTTTGAACGCTGAAATTCTACCAACGTGGACAATGCATAAGATTAATTTATGCTAACACCAACTGAAAACCTGTTGAAGACTCGAGCATTTTCAATAATTTAATTTAAAAGAGGATATTTACACAATGAATTTGTAATGTGTTTTATTAAGAGATTAAAAAACAAAAATGTTGGTTCTATTTAATGCCACAAGAGGGTGCTGTCTGCTCACACTACATCGGACTTGAAAGGAGGGAACAGCTGTTGGAAGAAGGCAGCCTACATAATATGAGGGATTTAATATTGGACAGTATAGAGGGTAATATCGCTGCTTTGTGTGAGGGCCAGTGCTGACAGGGCATCATGGAGGCCAGTTATTACTTTCACTTCTTATTTTGTTTATAGTCATCAAAGCTCCCAGACGGATAGGGGCAAACAAGTAAAAAAGGAGTGTTAAAGCAGCATTAAAGTAAATTATTACTTTTATCAGAACACATATCATAGGTGAGCAGTAGTAAAGATTATGAATGATGTAACATTAAACTTTGGTTGTAGTTTTGCTCATCTTAATCTTCTACTACTACTACTACTTCCTAGTACTACTACCCTATATAATAATCTAACTTTAGCTTTAGACCTACAACCTTTAAAGCCACAGTAGGGCTGGGTAAAAAGATCTATCAAATTGATTAATCAAATTTCAAGTTCAAAACGTTTTGTTTAGAAGAAATTTGATTTTGTTTTCCCTTTCTTTCTTTCATTGGAAATTGCATTGGAAATGTGAGAAAGATTGCTCACTGCAGTCTACACATTGTAGTAGCATTAGATGCTTTAGCTGCTTTAGCTGCATTTTGCTTTTGTACTATGATTAAACGTTTTCTGTTTACAGTTGACAGTAAAAACAAACATCTTATCCAAATTGACAATTTTCTGTAGCTTGCAGAACATTTTAGTGAGAGAGGGAAAAAAAAAATAGGTAAAATCCCTAAGCCCTAAGCCTCAGCATGTAACTTAAAAAATAAAAGCATGTTTTTGTCATGCTTCTTACTCTGGGTGGGCTTGCATCTCTTCAAACCTGACTCGTACTTGTCCTGGAGGAGGGCCTTCTTTTGCTTGTTTCTGTGGAAATGCTGTTACTTTGGCTGTAATCTTCCACAGTACGGCATAAAATATCTATTTCTATGGAAAATGTTGCGAAGTATGATTTTAACTTTCTATTTCATGTAGGTGAAGTGCCACCTCTGCAAAATTAGAAACTGTACATTTAAGTATATCTCAACAAACATTTATTTTTATGTATTATTATTATTTATTTTAACAATTTTACTTATTTTAGAATGTGCAGATGCAGTATAATTTCTGTATCCTTGGGTATATGGACTAGTTAGCAGTCAAAATGAGTACCATCTTGCTGTGAGGCATGATTACTAGCATTGTGGGTACTGCTCCTGACAGATTTTCTCAGTGGTGTTGAAAGATGGGTCAAATGCAGAATATTCATTTCCCATCACAATAACGTCTACTACAGTATATCCTTTTTAGTGCTTATTTCCTCAACTACAACCTTACAGCCACCCTTCCTCATATAACCTGTCCCCTCACTTCCAAACACTGATCCACCCTTGTCTAGGTTTGGTCCGGAGAGGATATGCTGTCAGTAAATTACCCCGCTCTGCCCCAGGTGAAAATTGAGTTTCATTTCATAGCTTGAACAGGATAAAAACAGCAACAAAAGTTTTAGTTGTTTGTTCGGAAACCTCAGAGCAGCAAAGGGGTTGAAAGGTTGTTAAGGCAGGCTAGCGGGTTGACGTTTCACTCCCCGCATCACCTGTAGTACACCTAGCACTCAGAACAGACACAGCAACATGTCATCTTATAGCCAACAAAGAGCACTATCTATAGCGTGCGGTTCCATAAACAAACTGTGTTATCAGGTTCCAAGACTTGTCACTTCCATTCGGAGTGACAGAGACAAAGCGTGTTTTAATTAGCAATAAGACTTGAGCTTGTTTTTAATTAAGCCGTGAATCATTTTCCACTTTTAAACATGTAAACGTGTCTAATGCTGTGCTAGCATTATGAGGCGTGTCACATACACTTAGCTTGGTTACAATGATCCAAGCATTACTTTGACAGCATTTTAAAAAGTGTTGCAATAATTTAGGCGTATTAGCTGTGTTTTGTGTTGCAGGTTTAATGCCAATCCGTAAACTTTTTTTTTTTTTACTTTTTGAACTTACTTAAACCTAACAATTCAGTAAGAAGTTTCTGAATTGTAAAAAAACTAAGGCATTGAATCACATTTTTACAGCTATTTCCAAACTTGCTATTACTAAAATTACTATCTTAAATTACACAGTTTTGAAAAGGTCAGTATTGCTGTTAAATTTTATCTAAAAAGCCAGGTGAATAATAGGCCTTAGGTAGGTTTCACAAGTCAAATGCACACTGTGTAACATTTCTGGAACACCTCGTCTCCATGGAGATGTTATTAAAATGTCTGGATTGTTCCCCCAGTATATAATTTATTCAGCTGAATGTTATCATTACTAAAAATATCTTGAAAATGTGCATTCTTATTCTGAGTGGCTGTAATTTGACTTGGTGGCATTTTCAGCTTGTCACTGTGGAGACAGATATGTTTGAAGGTCCCATATTTCACAACGTTGACTCACAGAAACTTCATGCCATGTTAGAACAGGGTTCCCACAGTCTGGAAAATAGAGTGGGAACGCTGTTAAAATATTCTGATCTCATCAAAAACATACCCGGAGTTGTGTTTTGTTTCATTCGCACAAGTACTATTAGTTTGTATATATTTCCAAAGCTCAAAATGCTCTTCATGACATCCAACTGGTGATGTCACGAAGCGGCCATTTTCAAGTTTTAACAGCTTCGTTTAAACTTTTGTTCAGTAGAGATGGGCAATTCCAGAGCTGAAATTATCCAAATGATTCTAGTGAAGGTATACAGAATTTAAAAACAGTATAGCACTAAATAAATATGCAGGGTTTGTGTGTTAAACGTGTGAATGAAATAAAACTCAACCTCAGTTATATTTTTGATGAAGAAACAATATTATAACATAGATAAAAATCTGCAAAATATAGGCCCTTTAATATCCTTCAGTGGAATATCCTGGGCAAAGCAATAACATCCATGGAGACAAACCGTAAGTTAGATAAGTTACACAATGCACTTTTATATATATATATATATATATATATACTTTTTTTGTGTGTGTGTGTGTGGCTACTCTCAAAAAGCTGGTTCTAAGAGTACAACAGGTATCTCTCACTCCTACTGCCCGTCCCACTGCACTGTCTGATGACTCCATAGAAACACACTGTGCCTGTTCGAATGGTGGCATTTCACTTCTGGCTAGTGTCACTGAGCAGCTTTAGGCCAGGAGCAGGTAGGTGGCAAATATCACATTAAAACTACTCCAGAGTATACAGTTTCAGGCCCCATAGGAGGGTCATATTTGTAACTGTGAGTAGGATTTTTGACTGAAGCACATTGCGGCCACCATAAAGATAAAATACTTGAAATGTAATGTCCTTTACACCTCTTAAATGAAGATTAAGATTATATTTGATCTGGGATGTTTGTTTGTAGATTTATTATGTCAAATATAACGTTTATATTGCAGCTGATTTGCTTTGTTGGTGGGGGTGTGCCATCTGCTTGTCTCCACAGACATGTTGCTTTGTTTTCGGTTTGAATGTTTTACAGAATGGCATTGTACACATCTATCTTGCACTGATTCAGGTGTTATGGTTAAAATACCACCAAAAACATGCATCGTTACTGTGAGTGTGCTCGCCAACTGACCTGTAACAAATTCTTTTCTACATGGAGATTCCTGTACTGTGTAGCATTTCAGGCAAAGCAATAACATCATCATCCACCAGAAAAGTTACATAGTTCATATTACGCTGGAGTTTTGTTTTCTTTCATTCACACGTTTAACACACAAATCCTGCATATTTAGGCAGTTTTCTCCTCTCAAACAGAAAACACTCTATGTCTCCTTGTCATGCACTGTTTTTAAACACCTTCACTAGAATCTTTTGGATAGTTTCAATCCTGGAATTGCCAATTGCTACCGAACTAAAGTTAAAAGATAGCTGTTAACTTGAAAACTACTTCATCATGACATCACAAGGTGGAAAAGATCATTTTGAGCTTTGGGGATGTAGAAAAACTAATAATAATGGATTACCCAAACATGTATGAAACAAAACACAACTCAAGATATGTTTTTGATGAGGTTCTACCATGCGTTAAAGCTCACAAGAGTCAATTTTTTTGTAATATAGGACCTTCAGCTTTTACAGATATACAAGGTTTTGCAAAACTATACAAATCTCTGTGCATTTGACATTTCATCCATCTTACACCATCGCAGTTTACCAAAAGGGAGGCGCGCTTAAAGAGACCTATTGTACTCAAACTCCTCAGCCACCCCTTTTGTGAATAAACATGGCATTTCCAGCTTGTGCCCCCGAGTCGAGGTTAAATCGCCCACTCAACAGACACAAAACCTGTAGCCTTTAATCCACTACAGTAGCATCCCAAAGTCCCTGTTCGGTCCTGCGTGAAAGGATTTGTGCTTGCTATGAACACTGCACACAAAAGAACTGTCAACCTCGTCTGATTTGCGGCCTTGTTATGTCCCTCCTGTCCTCTTGCTCTGTCTGCCATGTTGGTCTACAGTTGCCCAAAAAAGCGTCTTCTTTTCTTTACTTGTCAGGAGCTGTTGCCAAAGGGTGCATGTCTCTCAAAGGGGGAGACCATTGGCCCATTGACGGACAGAAGCGCTAACCCCGGAATCAACACTTGGAGATAGCCGCGCGGTTGTTTACAAAGTCCCAGGCCTGAATTGTCACCTTGTCGGTTAAGGAAGAGTCCTATCTTCTCTTATCTGGCAGGGAGACAGCTAACCACTCTGCCGGCGAGGAAAGGGGGTGAAAGACTAGCAGTGTGTCACTATAAATCAGTTTTTCAGACATACTTTTGTTATGTTTTTCGGTTCATTTTTCCAGTTTCTGAAGTGTGTCCTCGGGTGGCTTGGATTGAACGGGACATTCTTCACAGTCCAGGTTGACAGTGACCCTCGACTCTCCAGTGCACTTAAGGGGAAGAATTTACATAAAAGCACCAGTGGAATGACAACGCCTTCTTTCATCCCTGAGAAGTTACTAAATGAA